TCTGTCACTGGATCAGGTCTGCACATCCCTGTTTCAGATTTCCATCAACAACAAGGCAGAATTTCTGGTTATTTAGGGGAAATAGAAGTAAATAGGGCCACTTTGTCCCTATCTCTTTGAAGGAGCTGAATTTCCTGGAGTTGGGTGAGGGCCACAGTTTGGCCCAATTCCCTCTAATTTTTGTGGTGGTGGGGAGTTGTAGCTTGGCATTCTGGGAGCTGTGAGGCAAGTCTGGCCTCTCACATTTGCTCTTTCCTCCCCCAGCTCTGCCATCTCAGGACTCTGCCCTTCTCCAAGAGAGGAACCAGGAGGAGGATTCATCAGCCCTCAAAATTCTAAAAGTCACGTCCCTCGTGAGTTTTAAAACCATGTAAATATTTGCTTTCCTTATCCTGAAACTTCCCACCTGGGTTCCACCCAGGAATATTGTTCTTAGATGCTCCCCTTTTATGAAGTAAAAGGACCAGGCAGCTAGTGCCTTTTCCAAGACTCCCCTTCTTTCTGACCAGTGCCCATGGGTTTATTCTGTATAGCATTCAGTATCTCCTGGTGGCTCAGTCTCCTGCCAGGAGGCCAGATGGAACAGAAATCCATGCCCTTGTAGGAAAATGAGAGCCCAGGTGGCACAGTGGTTAAGCGCTCACCTGCTAACCTAAAGGTCAGCAGTTCAAACCCACCAGCCGCTCCACAGGAGAAAAATGTGGCAGTCTGCTTCTTTAAATATTACATCCTTGGGAACCCGATGGGGAAGTTCTCTGTCCTACAGGGTCACTATGAGTCAGAATCAGTGACAATGGGTTGGGTAGGAAAATTAGAGCTCCCCTTGTGGAACCTAAGTTTGATGAGATGGAGATGAATATTTACGAAGCAGATGTCATATTGATTGGTCTCAACTTCAGCGTGTAGTGAGATCTGCTTTGGGAAGATTTTAAGATTGGATGTATGACTGGGTCTTATTTGGGAATCCATGAGAGATTAGACGCTAGAATTAAGGTCTGGTGTGAGGGTGAACAGAGCGTGTACAACTGGATCATTATCCAGCTTAAGAGCAACAGAAGTGCAGAGCTGGAGATGGTGGATGAGAGCAACTGAGAAGATCAGCCAGGTGGACAAGGTGTACTATCTAGATGACCATGGCTTGGAAGGGCCTTACAAGATCTGATCCAACCTCTGCCTCAAAATAAGAGAATGGTTGAGTCATTCATATCACATGAAAGAAAATTATAAAGCCAATAAAAGCAATCTTCATTCAAGATTTTTCTCATATGGAAAAAGGCCTGTGATATGTTCTGACATAATGATGAGCTTATATTTTTAAGAGGAGCCCTGGTGGCATAATAGTTAAGTGCTCAACTGCTAACTGAAAGTTTGGTGGTTCAGAGCCACCCAGCGACTCTGCAGGAGAAAGACCTGGCAATCTGCTTCCATTAAGATTACAGTCTAGGAAACCGTATAGGGCAATTCTGCTCTGTCAGATGGGGTCGCTATGAGTCAAAAATTGACTCGACAACACCCAGCAACAACATCTTCAAGACATTCTCAACTGATATGAAAATCATGTTTTCTAAGGTAGTTTGTAAAATATTTGGGGGAAAGGACATCCAATTTTGTTTTGTTTTGTTACTGATAAAGGTAGAAATGGTAGTCGCATGTTAAAGAAGAATTTATTATCTGCCATGCACGGGGCAGGCAACATGCTTTATTATATTGTTGCTTAGGGTTGGGAAAACTCAGTTTAGCTGGATTTTTATTTTCATTCCAGACCTGTGCACAAGAGCTTTTGGGTTGCAGTAAAAAGGAATGTTCAAGAACATTTGAGCATTCTGTTTTATTTATAAGTAGCTCTGGTGGCGCAGTGATTAAGTGCTCAGCTGCTAACCAAAAGGTCGGTGGTTAGAACCCACTGCCTGCTCTGCGGGAGAAAGATGTGGCAGTCTGCTCCCGTAAAGATCACAGCCTTGGAAACCCTCTGGTGCAGTTCTGATCTGTCCTGTAGGGTCGCTTTGAGTCAGAATCAACTCAACAGCAACAGATTTGGTTTTTGGTTTATTTTATCTATGCCCATTTTCTTCTTTTCGCCAACTTGTATCAGGGGCCTCCAGCCCCAGCCAAGTTCCTCAGAACAACTTCTTCCTACGAAGACCTCCTTCATCTCCTCTCATCCCATTGTGAAACGTTTCCTTGAAATACAGATATAATATCCATGCTTCTTGTTCCAGGGGTCAGTATTGTTCAGGGATGTGGCCATAGTCTTCTCCCAAGAAGAATGGGAACAGCTGGCACCTGCTCAGAGGGATCTGTACAGAGACGTGATGTTGGAGACGTACAGCAACCTGGTCTCACTGGGTAAGGTAATCTGGTCTTAGTCTGGAGAGTTCCCTGTTTGGAGGCATCTCTGTTTCTTCCTGGTCCATTTCTGGGTAGTTTTCAGTTTCCTGACTGGTTGGTCATGTTTGAGTGGCAGCCCCATCCTGAGTACTGTGTTCCTTAAAAAAATCATCTACAGGAAACCAAAAACAAAACCCACTGCCATCAAGTCAGTTCCGACTCATATGAGACCAAACAGTCAACAATTACTTTAAAACACAGATGAGACAGTAAGGGAGCAGGGAAACTAGATTAATGGAAATGGAACAACCAGAACAGAAATAATGAGAATGTTTATGCATTGAAACTGATTATCACTGAACAACTTGTGTAGCAATTGTTGAATGGGAACCTAAACTGCTGTGTAAGCTGTCACAGAGAACACAATAAAATATTATCAAAAAATAAAAGACAGCCCCATCCGGCTGAAATTCTGTCTTCCCCAACCTTCAGGTGGCCCTTTCTGCAGCTCCCTCTCCTGCTCAATGACCAGGCCCTGCGTTTGAATTCTAGGGCCCCCACACCATAACC